GTAAACAGAGATAATACTTTATAAGCTTCCATTAATACCAATCATGGGTTTATACAATACAATCGTAATTATTATTAGGTATATCCGTAAAAAAAGGTTTATTGTGCGTCGCTAACAACCAACGAAACCCTACATTTGTTTCTATTGGCTATTTCCTAATGATCTAAGATAGTGAACTAATGATAATAATTGTATAAACGCACTATGAATGAAATAAAACAATGGGCATGTAAATAAGTCTGCCAAAAATTAAAATTAATCTCTTGAAATATGAAAAATTGTACACTTCCTGTTATTTATCTGCACTTAAGTGACAAATTTATAAAAAAACGATTAGTTTTTTGATGTTATATGATTTATGATAAGTGATTTGGTTATGAAAATAAATTAAAGCTGATATAGCTTTTGAAAAGAAAGTACCATAGGTAATATAAGAGTATTTCATCATTTTTAATGCCATTACAAATATATTTATAAGTAGGTAACTAAATGGAGGATGCTCATTTACGATGTAGAAACTTTGTCGTTCTTGACAATGAAAGTGTACAGGGTGTTCCAGATCGAGTGGGATTATCCTCATTTATATTTCTTTATTTCTAATGTTCGATAATCGTTAAACTGTTACCTACATTTTCGAATATATATACTCATACATGATCACTTAACGTACAGGCGTCAAGTGGCGCGTAATACAAACAATAAAATAACAATATATCAACAAATAACCAGTGTAAAAGATAAAATTAACGGAAGTTCAATTTAACGGAAGTTCACAGAAGCGTTAACATCTTAATCCGTTAAGCAAAATCGTTAACTTCATTAATTAACGATTAACAAATTGGCGAGTTAATACTCATCTATGTCTATTATCCAGCTTGGACCCCACCATCAATAAGAACTTGTCCAAGGCATTCTCTTTGTCGGTACCCACTTGCGCCGTCTCGTTCAGTCGCAAATCGCATTTTGGTGGATTTCGCTAAAAAAATTCCACAAAATACTACTCAATTTTTGGGGAACTTCTCATAGCTCGACCAAAGCTATAGAAAAAATTGAAAAATAACCACGTTAGTAAACCACGCTCGGAGATGGCGCCCAGATGTCGCCGATCTCACTCTGTCACTAAAGTTGTTAATTACACGGCCCCGGTATATACATGACGTACACTCCTCCTTTTCTACAAACTGTCTTCTACGGACCTTCATTTGCTAACAGCCAGCCACTAGCCAGCCGGCCAAAAAGAGATTACCTTTTTACATAAATAAATTTGCAAAAATTCGCTACAAACAAGGCTCTATTTCCATATGTCTACAAAAAATGTTATATTTCCATTTAATTCTGCATTGAATACATATCCTTCCTACGGGTTCCGCCCACGCCAGCCCTTGCACAACGAGCGTCTCCACCTGAATAAATGCATGTTGCTTTTCGCCACTTAAGGAGCGTTTCTTATATTTAAAAAATGGAATTATTTAATGGATGTAGATATAGTGTGTTTTTTAAGTTCCCAACCTTGATAGCCAAAATGTAAAAATCCGATCTTCAAACGTCAATAAAACATGACATTTCTCAACAAATTTAATGACATAAAAGTTTGACTTTTTAGACGCATGTGCGTTGGCATTGGAATTGGAAGTGTATAAAAAAGTTCTCGTTGCCATTGACAACGTCAGACTGCATATAATGGTTATTTGTACCTACTAGTTTTGAGAGCGATACTTTTTTTATGAATTTGCAGTTTGATTAATGAGGGCAAAGCCAGAGTATTTTTAACAAGTTGAATAAGTAGTACCTATATCTACAGTGTGTCCCAGATCGCGTGGGATTGCATGGGTAACTTTGTTATTTAATTGTAATTTTTTTTTAATTCATCACAGCCTACTTGATTAAAATATAAAAACCGTTGATATAACTGGTATCTTATTTTCAATCTTATGTTATTATAGCTCGTTGAAAAGAGAATTAAAAAATCTATCAAATAATCTAAAAATCCCATATAGCGCCTATTTAACTTCAGGAAGTTGGTAAATGTTCCTCAAAAGTAGCAATCTTGAATTTTTTTTTGACATCAATTCTAAATTAAGCGTATCAAAGACAGTCACTTTTATATAAAACTTTTTT